AGTTAGGATAGATTCTATAATTTTAACTTCTTTATCTATAATAAAGACTATATATTATTTTTATATTTCTATCTATATTTAAAATAGTTTTAAAATTTTTACAGACCTGGATAGCTGTGCCGAAGTAGATATTATTAATTATTAGTTTATTAAAGTCTATAATCTTTAATATACTCTGATTACTGCGCTAAAGATTAAAGCTATTAATCAAATTATTATTTCTATCTATAATATATAGAAAGTCTCTATTATTACTACTAATTTGTAAGAAGATATCTATATTTTTGAATAATATTATATAAAGATTAATCAGAATCCCTGACTGAAAGACAGCTTTGTATTATTTTTAATAACTATATTTTATAATCTATATATTATCTTATTAGTATAAAACTGCTAATAATAATTTAGTATATTATCTATTTTATTGCTTTCTATTATTTAATTTACTAAAGCAACTCAAAACTTAGCAAGAGTATATATTATTATTAAGTTTTTTAAAGATATCTGGCTATCAAAAGAAGAATCTTGTGATTTATTATTAAATCCTGAGATAATTCTTATTAAATTTAAATAGTTTTAAGATATATTCTCTATAGATTTCTTTCAATAACTATCTTCTTATAGCCCTGCGGACTATATTATTAATATTAAATCTAATAAAATATTCTCTTACAGTCTAATATATTTCTTATCCGAAGCTGAACTTAAGATTCTATAAGAATATATTAAAAAGAATCTAAAACTAGGCCGAATTTAATCTTTAAAGAGCCCTGCTGGAGCCCCTATTCTTTTTATATTTAAGAAAAATAATAGCTTATGTCTTTGTATAAACTATAGAGATCTTAATAAGATTTTTATTAAGAATCACTATTTCTTATCTCTTATTTCAGAGATTCTTAATAAAGTTTCAGAAAGTATCTACTTTTTAAAGATTAATATTAAGAATATATACTATTAAATCTGTATTAAGAAAAATAATAAATAGAAGATAGTATTTTGTATTTGATATAGTTATTTTAAATATATAATTATACTATTTAAATTAACTAATACTTCAGTAACTTTCTAAAACTATATATATACTGCACTTCGAGAACTTTTTAATAACTTTTATATAGTATATCTGAATAATATTCTTATCTTTTTGTCAGATAAGAAATCTTATATAAAGTATATTTATTAAGTTTTAAAGAGACTTCGAGAAGCTTAGCTCTATATAAAATTATTAAAATATTTATTTTATTAATCTCAAGTCAAATTTCTGGGATATATTATCGACTCTGACAGAGTATTTATAAATTCTTAATAAATAAATAATATTATTTTGTGGCTGATTTCTGAAAGTTATTATAATATCCAGATCTTTTTTAGATTCTGTAACTTTTATTAATAATTTATTTAAGATTATTCTTATATTACCTTGCCTCTTACTTTTTTACTTTATAAAATAATCAACAGGCGGAAGTCAGGAAAGATCTATCTAATCTTAATTAAATAAACTGCTTTCTGCTGTCTTATTATTATCTTTTAATAAGTATTTTTACTAATATATTTTAATTCTACAAAACCCTGCTGTTTAGAAATTGATATATTAAAAAAAGAGATAAGTAGTATTCTATCTTAATCTGATATTAAAAGTATATTTTATTTAGTTATATTCTGATTCTATAAATTCTTTAATGCTGAGCTAAATTATAGTACTCTAGATTAAGAGCTATTTGCTATTATTTACTCTTTTAAATAATAATAATAATATTTAGAAGATATTTCTTAAATAATCAAGATTTTATCAGACTATTCAAACTTGCAATCTTTTATATATCAAACCCGGGTTAACAGGAGGCAAGCTTGATGGCTTATAAGTCTAATTTTCTATAATTTTATTATTAAATATAGAACAGAAAAATCAAACCCAGCAGATAGACTCTTCAGAATGTCTTCTGGATCTTAAGTGAAATCTGCTTCTTAAGAGGAACTGTTAACCCCGATTCGAGCGCGATTCGTGGGTGTATTGTCTCTGATAATAAGGGATCTTGTCAAAGAAAAAACCCAGTTCGAATCTTGAGATGCGCAGGGTTACCCTGAATTTGATACCCGTATTGCGTTGAGCTCAAAGAACCCCAATAATCAAGCTGATATAGAGACAGCTGACTGGGCTGCTTGGGAGAACTTATCTTAAGAGAGATTTATTCCCCAATCTACAGTGTCACAAGTGTGTGCCGCGGAAGTTTTGTACTTGGATATATATAATTCTAAATTTTAAAAAATAATCTTGTGTTTGCAGAATAATAATCCAGAGATATAATAATAAAAGACTGCTGTTTAATAAAAGTAATCAAGCCAAAAGTATTAGATTATTAAAATAACTAGTTATATTTATTTCAAAGACTGATACTATATTCCCTCTTCTGAGACACTATGTCAGACACTTATTAAATTATATTATAATAATCTGTTAGCGGGATACTTCAGAAAAACCCGAATAGAAGCACTACTACACAGAAAGTTTCACTGAAATAGATTATAGTATGATATAGCTGAATATATCCAAACTTATCTAATATATTAAGAAACCACTGCTCCAAAGCATTAACCATATAGCAGTCTTAAATTATTATTAATTCTATTATATCTCTTTATTAAATTAGCAATAGATTTTATTACAGGGCTGCTCTCTATTATCTAATATAGAAAGACTGTTAATACTATTTTAGTTATTATTAATTAATTCTTAAAATACTGTCTTTTCTTTGCTGTTCTGTTCATAATAACTACCCCAGATCTTGCTGAACTATTCTATAAACAGATTAAATTAATCTTTGGACCCCCAAATAGGATTATATCTAATCAAGAATTAATCTTTATCAGCAAATTCTGGTCAAATTTAGTCTATAATAGCCATATAACCTTAAAGCTTTCGATTATATTTTATTCTCAAACTGATGGCCAAATAGAACAGATAAATCAAATACTTAAACACTATTTCTAATATTACTTCAGCTAGTATAATACTAACTAGCTATTAATTTTTTTAAGTACTTAATTCGCCTGCAATAACGCAGATAATATAATTACGGGCCAATTATTTTATAATATTTTTTATAGCTTTTTGCTGAACTTTTATATCAGAATTAAGACTGATTCTTAGCAGCAAGAAGTCCCAGCGGTATAGGATAAAATTAAAAAACTTAGAGAAACAAGAGAACAGCTATAAAAGATATGGCGAATAGCTATAAAAAAGTAAAAAAAATATTATAATAAGCGCAGAAAGCTATTCTACTTCAAAGAAAAAAATCTAATTAAGTTATTAACTCAGAACTTATAACTTAAAGAATTAAGAAAGCTGGCTCCGAAGTTCATAGAACTCTTTTGAATTCTTAAATATATCAGATCTCAGGCGTATTAGTTATATTTATCTGAGAAATATAAACAAATCCACAATATATTTTATGTCTTCTTGTTGAAATCGTGGAATACTAAAAGAGATTATAAAAAACTGCTCTTGATGCCTGAGCTAGATAATAAAGAAGGGAATAACAGTGATGCAGTATAGATAAAAATAATAAAAATCATGTGAAATAATAAAGAAATATAAAGAGAACAATTATAAATTACTAAAGAAATAATAATCACGAAGTAGAAGAGAAGAAGAAAGAGAAGTAATATAAAAGATTCTTTTATTTATACTTCTTCGCAGGGGATTTATCTATGCAAATATAATATAAGAGATTTTTTTATTTATACTTCTTTGCAGGGAATTCACCTATGTAAATATAATTAAATATTTATAAAACTATACAGAAATGGTATGTGATTCTGTTTATATTATATATCCCGCGAGTTTTTTATCTTTTGCTATTGGATCCCTACTATTCTGAATCAGGAATATATAAGATTATTCCTAATATTCGAGCTAGATGGCTTGTTCCAGTGGAGAAGAGCACTATTTATAATAGAATAAATCAGCTATCGGGATAAAGATTATTAAGATAATATATTATAGTGGTTGTGAGAGTCGTGTCATCGGGATGATATGTTATAGTGGTTGTGAGAGTTATGAGATTATTAATAGTGGTTCTATACCTCTCCGGCATCTATAAGATGCCGATCTTTCTGTAAGAAGCTACTGATTCTTTAAGAATCAGTCTATCTCATGAATATAGGCTATCTTTGTTATTATCAAACAAATACACGGTGTTTCATGGTTGATTCCTTACCTAGTCGACAGGCTTTCTACCCTGACAAGTAGATCCTATCACAAATAAAAATTTATAAGTATAGATATTCTTTATACTATTAAATATCTTCACAAGAATATAGATCTTTTTATAGATAGTCTATTTAATATTATTATTTTAATATTCTTTCTTCAGAATCAGAGTAATTTATTTAATAATTTTTATAAAATTATAAATATTTTTTAGCAGATCAGTTACAGACTCAAGAAATATTAATAAATTATATATATATAATACAGAGTATATAAAATTTATAAAATTATAAATCTTCTTTCCCGCGAAATAGAAATAATACAGAATAAATATCTTTATATTTAATAGATAATTAATATTATATAGAACACTCTTCTTAAAATTAAAATTATTATTTATATATCTCAAATAATATATACAGAAGTTATAGCAGACTTTAATAAGAATATTCTGCTTGAAACACGCTGTTCTCTTTGTTATTACAAAGTAATTAAAAATAAGATTAATATCTGATAAAGAAGAGAATAACAGTAATATAGTATAAATAAAAATAACAAAGATTATATAAAATAATAAAAAAATATAAAGAAAATAATTATAAATTACTAAAGAAATAACAATCACAAAATAGAAGAGAAGAAGAAAGAGAAATAATATAAGAGATTCTTTTATTTATACTTCTTCGCAGGAGATCTATCTATATAAATATAATATAAGAGATTTTTTTGTTTATACTTCTTTATAGAGGATCTATTCATGCAAATATAACTAAATATTTATAAAGCTATACAGAAACAGCACGTGATTCTGTTTATATTGTGTATCCCGCGAGTTTCTTATCTTTCGCTATCGGATCCCCACCGTTCCGAATCAGGAACATATAAGGCTATCCCCAACACCCGAGCCAGGTGGCTCGTCCCAGCGGAGAAGGGCGCCATTTGTGATAGAATAACCCAGCTATCGGGATAAAGGTCATCGGGATGATGTATTATAGTGGTTGTGAGAGTCGTGTCATCGGGATAACGTGTTATAGTGGTTGTGAGAGTCGTGAGGTTATTGATAGTGGTTCTACACCTCTCCGGCACCTATAAGGTGCCGATCCCTCTGTAAGGAGCTACTGATCCTTCAAGGATCAGTCTATCTCGTGGATATAGGCTACCTTTGTCATTGTCAAACGAATACACGGTGTTTCATGGTTGATTCCTTACCTAGTCGACAGGCTTTCTACCCTGACAAGTAGATCCTATCACAAAGAGTATGACTTTATTATCTCTTCTATGACTGATTTGATATTATTACTAATCTTTTGAAGTCAGGCTGTATAGGCGCTTATTGTTTTATTATACTTTTTTTTTATTTGCTTAATCTGCTTGAGATGCTGGTCTATAGTCTTGATTATTTTCTCGCGGTGATATATCTATAGATACTCAAATTTCTCTGTGTAGTTGTTGTGTAGCTTTGTCAGATACTTTTTATAATTTTTCTTTATCTCTTTTATAATTATCGCCTGGGATGATTGCTCTGAATATAGTATAAACTGATATTCTGACTGATTATTTAGTTTTTGCTTTGTTGCTTGTTGTAAGGTCTCTTAGTATTTGTCTTGGAGTATTTGTACTTGGTTGTTCTGCTGAATATTTATTAATTAAAGCTGCTTTATATAATTAATTTACTGAACTTTAAGATCCTAAGTTTTAACTGTTAATTAGATTTTTAAAGCTTTGACTCTGGCTGTTAGATTCTGGATATTATTATAGTAATTTCTTGTATATTTTATCTTTGTTTCTTATTTTATAGTATATTTATAAATAATAATCTTCTTCAAAGCCTAGAGTGGCTTAACCTGACCGTTATACCTTAACCTTAACCTGGCCATAACCTGGCGGTCAGGTTAAGGTATAAAAAATTTTTAACCGTACGGTTAAGGTCAGGTTAAGGTACAACCGTCACTATAACCGTTTATACCTGCCGGTCAGGAAGGTCAGGTATAGCAGGTAGGTTAATAACCGCAGGTTAATTCGTAATATATACATCCTTCTTACATAGATAATATACAAAGTGTAATATATATTTAATTACAGTATAGACATAGTAATATTCTTTAGATATAGCCTACTGCTCGACCTGCTCAACCGGTCGCCTTAAGAGGTATACTACACTCTGGAAAAGGCTTTTACAGAACCTAGTATAGAAGAAATAAGAAAAGATACAGAATATTTATTCTTTATACTGTCCGGGACGGTGATCATGATGGCGTAGGAATTGTAAAGGCCGGGTCTCTATCTCTACCTGAGTACGTGTGATAGTCGAAGACTCAGGTAAGGCTAGTTCTCCTAATTCTGATAATAACCCATCCTCTGGGTCATCTTCAAGATCATCTATATCCTCATTCTCACTAATATAGAAGGTAGTAATCACCTCATCCTCCTCTTGCTCCTTGGGTGTAAAGATGATCGAATCTGGATTGAGATCATCAAGCATATCCTGATACTCCTCACTTATAGTAAAACAATCGATACACATTTGAAGCATAACTGCTTCAATTATATCAGGATCGAGACGGCTCCGGCGATAGTGGCAGATATCTCGAGAACTGTTGAAAAGACGTTCAACACTGACACCATTGGTTGCGACCGAGAGGAAATCTCTAGCTATCTGGTAGAGAATAGGAAACTGATCACGGCGGGACTTCCAGTAAGCAAGAATATCAGTATGCCCTGTAGTACCTGGAATCGTATTAGTTCGATCGAAGATGTCTTAAGAAGCTACATACCTTCAATATCTAGATATGCCTTAAGTTCTTCGCACGTCTCGACGAGAGCTGGATATGGGACAATCTTCCGATTCTTCGCGACGCGTGTAATCTCGAGATTTGGGGGAGGAGGAAAGATCTGACTTGAGAAGCTTATCTCAGTTTGGGCATTATCATGGTTTGTAAAGGTCTGAGAAACGGAAGAAGAAGGCTCGATAGTATTCTCTGAAAATAAACCAGATGACTGCAATTGACTCATGATTCTGAAGCTGTTCTGCAAATAATAGATATAGAAAGATAGAAGCAGAAAACTCTGCAAAGGCAGTTTGTTTTGCTTCAAGACACGACTTCGCGTAAATGTGATCTATCATATTTTAACATGCAGCTGAGGCGCCCGCCGTATCTTATTCATTTCAGTAGGCCTAGCAACCAGGAATTCATATCTGGAGCCCAGAGTTATAGAATAGTCCCTTCTCTTAAACAGAGCTGCTTAAGGCATAATAGACTAGGGTAGAAAGTAGATATTCATAGGAGAGGTCTGCAAAAGGCTTTTACAGGATCTTCTATAAGAGCTGTAGTATCACAGTGCAGACCTAGTGTACCCTGTTTACCTGTTCTACCCGTTCGACCTGTTTGACCTGTTTGACCTGTTTGACCTGTTTGACCCGCTCTACCCCAACAACCCGACTGTCCGCAACCTCCTTAACTGCCTGCCAGTTCCTGATCCTGTTGGTAGCTCTTCGAGCTACATCTTGTCTATGAACCTGAGGATAGCCTGACCCAGGGGAAATAGTAGAATAGAAGCAGTATATTTATTCCCAGTATTCTAATTAGTAGTTAATATATGGTTTTTCTAGTGTTCTATGATATGATTAAGGTGTACGGCTAAAACGGAGCGGTAATTATATATCTTTACACATGTTTCTCGCTGTAAGAACAATAATTTTATAAAAAGCTGAATTTTATCAACACAACTAGGATTTCCTTATTATTTCCGATGAATAGTGATAAAGAAGATACTAATTTCTTTCTCAGTTATATTTTTTTAATCTAAAAAGCTTCTTTTTATATACTTTTAGGCGACGGTGAAGATGGCCAGGTTAATAACCGTTTAACCTGGGTATACCTTAACCGTGCTAGAGCTTAAAAAGGTATAGCGGGTAGGTCTTGGCGCCAAGAACGGTTAAGACGGTTAACCGCCCGGTTTTTAGCTATACCGCGGTCAGGTATAAAAATTTCCTTAACCTGACCATAACCTGGCGGTTAGGTATAAAAATTCCAATTAACCTGACCTGACCTGGCCGTTAGCCACTCTATCAAAGCCTGGACTTCAGTTATTTTATTATTTATAATAATATCTTTAATAATTATAGGGTCCAGTGAATTTATAATAGTCTGATTTTATAGAATAGCTGATATTAGTCGCTCTTGCTGAGTTCTTTTAAGTTTAAAGATTTCTAATCTTTTAAATTTTTCTTTATATATATATCTATCCTTCCGGACCTTCTGCTCTTGCTTTCGATCCCGATCTTAACTAATTAGTATATCTAGATATAGTTAATACTGATATTACAGTTCCCAGCGGTCTATATTAGATTATCTTGCTTCAAGAAAAAACTTAAAATTACTGTTAATATTCTTTATAAAGATAGTAAAATAGTATTTTGTTTATAGTTTCCCTGTCTTTATAAAGTAGTTATGATAGAGCTTTTTATTTTTTATTAATATATTAATAACTTGAGCAAGTTTTATGTCTGTAAGAATTAACTTCTCTTTAGCTGTAGTTTTTTGAGATAATTTAATAATTAGACTCTTACTCTTATTTAATATTATTATACTATCAGAAGAGTTGTCTGAATTATTAAAAAAATTATTAGATTTAATAAATATAAAGTCTGAGTTCTTCTTCTTCTTCTTTGAAGTTATAATTATAAATATAGTATTATCTTTTTTTTTTTTGATTTTAAGCTTTGATTCTGACTTCTTTAAACTTAAATTATAATTATTCTAGTTTTTATTTTATAACTTAAAGATTATTGTCGCTGTATTAATACTGCAGTTACTGATAAAAAAAATAGATAAAATTAGAGTAGAATATATAAAAAAAAAAAAAACAAAAACAAGAAATATAAGAAATACTATATAAAAGATAAAAAGCAAGAAAGATAGATAAAAAGTTAGAAATAAGAAGTGAGATAATAATGATATAAATTAATAGGATGAGATAAGTTAATTAAATAAGATAAGTTAATTAAGCAAGATAAGGTGAGTTAATTAAGCGATCGAATAAATAAATATAGATTAGTAAATAATTTTTATTAATTATTATTAATATCTATTTCTTTAAAAATAGCTCTCTAGCAGTAGCCGCAGTGCTTTTTTTTTATTAACTCTGTCTTTAGTAATATAAGATTTCTTATCACTGTTGCTTTCTTCTTGCTGCAAGATTTTGTGCTTTTTTTATAATATCAGAAAATCTTATATAAAATGGCTTTAAATAATTAATATAATACTTTCTAATATTAGAATATATTATAATGTCTTTCAGGATTATAGATTGTTGATAATTTAATACTCTTCTAATTAAAAATAGCCCTGCTTATTAGGATTCTAACTTTTTCTTTTTATTCTTATTAACTATAGTTTTTTATAAAAATATTAAATTGCCTGCGGTTATCTTCTTCAAAGAGCCAGATATATCTTATTATTTATAATACTGCTGTAAAGCCTCTCTTGCTTTATTTAATTATTTATTTCTTATTACTTGCACTCTGGCTAACTAATTATTATTATTATTATTTATAAGATTATCTTATCTTTCGCAGATAATATTCTGTATAGTTTATTCTTATAATAATATTAGGCTTAAATATCTTAATTTATATTTTAAAAAGATTTTGGCAGGTACAAACTCTATTAATTATATCTTTTTTATATTAATTGACTGTATAATTATGTCAAGAAACTTATTCTATCAAAATATACTAGTTTTGTCTTTTAAAATTATTATTCTTAATAAATTAATTATTATCTATATAATCCGCTCTGCAAGATCTATTAATTATAATATTATTATTACTGCAGTTATATACTTGACTTCCTCGTGCTTAATTATATTATAAAAGTTGATTCTGATAAAATAGTTTTTATTATTTATATAGAATTCTATTAGTTAATCAAATATCTTTATAATATTCTACTTAATAAAGTTAAATAA